GCAGTGCACCACATCACAAATCACCACATCACACACACACACATCATCCCATTGTACTTTAAACAAGACTTGACAAACATGTTTTTTTGAGTTAAACGTGCGGAGTTGCGAGGGTTCAAAAAAAAGAACCGAAGGCAGCGATCGAGACCCTTCTTGAAAAACATTAAGTGGAAGATGAACCAATTCCATCTTGGATTTGAACTGTTTGATATTTTGCAATTTTGGAGCAGAGACTCTGCAATTGGTACTTTCCGTAGGGTGCTTGTTTGTCAACAGACGATCCAAATTTGACATTTTGGGAAGGGGATCGTCTCTGGAAACCAAGCACCTTCGAAGTTTCGATTCCAATATTGCTCCATCAGCCAACAAGGGTTCGTTCACCAGGTCGCCAACCACTGCGTTCCTCACACTTACGTCTCGCTGCGTAAGCCGTCACCTGTTTCGAAACCGATTCGACCAAGGCGACGGGGCGGCGGGAGACTCAGTGCGAACGCAAAAAAAAACAACCAGACCATCCATCGGACTGGAACAGGTGGACCTTGTATGACCCATAGTATCCGGATGGTCTAGGAAGGGCAGTGTCTTTTTTCCCGGGTGTAAGCAAGTGATGAGTCAGCTGACTCAAAGACGACCGATGGGACTGGCATGTTGACCTGTTTACGTTGAAGTGGTTTGAGGGGTCGCTATAGTTATAAGGATGCCTCAAAGAACTATATCTAAACCACCTACAAACCGTGGTAAATATACTGACTACATATTCCAGGATGGTTTATCAACGGACATCCCTTGACCTCTAAGGGGCTTGACGGACACCCTTTCCGTGGTGCTAGTTTATATTATCCTTAAGGGAGTTATCACGTATAGAGCCAATGTGTTTGGCACGCAATTCTTTCAACCCACCACCGCTTTGGTCTTCGTCCGTCCGAACTGGTGTTCGTCCGTCTCAGTTCTCGAGAAAAAGGCATTGTTCAATGCTTTGGTTCGGTCGGATTCGGTGGCCAATTCGGTGGCCAATGCTTGGAATGCAGGAAGAATCCTCCGAGCTCTTTTGGGGAGGGATTCCAAGAGAGGTTGAGAGACCTGAACTAGGACCCTGTAGTGGTACATATGGGATGGGCAATGGGGCTGTTCAACCTCTCTAGGTTTACACTAAACCATCTCCATTTGGGGTTGGAGAAGCGTTGATTCGTGGACCCAACACCGAGTCGTGTTGATATTGAAGCCTCCAGGGAACGCACGCAGCGGTTTTTATTGCCCCTCAAAAGCATTTATAAGTGTTTTCTCGAGGTGTTCAGGAGTGTTTGACCTTTTTGACCAACTGCAGCTTAAGTCTTAAGTTCACCGTCATGTCACTTGTAGAACACACCCTTGGTCGACACCGCTTGGACACCGCTTTCAACGACACCTTTGCCCCGGCCTCCTTCCGCCAGGCCCGGCGCTTGGCGATGAAGCCCGAGAACCTGGCGCCCGAGCTGTGAAGCTTCGCGCCGGCGGAAGCGACGCCCGCGCCCAACGAAAAAGGCAGCGCCTGCGGAACGCCGTGCCTGATGGCGGCCGCCTGACACATTCGCGGGTTCTCTTCGGCTTTAGCCGGCCGAAGACATCGGATTTGGGTGACATCCAGTTTGATCGATATGGTCCCATGTCTTTGGCAGCTGTGTTTGTTTTGGCAGCTGTGCTCGATGATTGGACCTGACCTCTTCATAGGACAAGACCGGCACTGGCATTCGTTTCGACCAGAGCCACGGTCACCGGCGTTTCGCGAGCGAGTCACGGTGTTGGTTTGTTTCGTTTCGAAGAGGATGGATCAGCCATACACGGCCCGACGCGGCCCGGAGCGAAGAGCGTCGCGTCCGGAGCGTCCGGCACCAGACCGAGGGGTGCCGAAGGATGCCGAGAAGCGCGCTTCTTCGGTCGGGGTCACCGGATGAAGACCTGTTTACGTAGTGTGGAGATATAGACACCAGCCAGGTGACCCCGAACGGAAGCAGGTGTGTCAAGTCGACCATGTTGAAAATGAGAACGATCTGGTTTTGGTGTAAAACCCTTAGTGAAACAAGGGTTGTTCGGGATTTAGGCTATTAAAACAATGATGGTTCGACTTCTAGGGTTCACTTATAGTTCAAGGTTTTTGGCTTGTTGACTTCGGATCACCCTGGCAGGAGAAAAGGGTAATCCCACATAGTCGGAATGTTATCCGGTTTCCACCTGAACTTCATTTCATCCTGAGGGCCGCCGCCCCCGGGCTCCTCTTGCCGCCACGGGACGGCACGGGAGAAGCTCCTGAGGTTGGAGGATTCTTACGAGTGCCTCTGGAAACAGGTGCCGGCAACCGCATGAGGGGAGACGCGTGAGGGGCTGGTTATAGGTTTTTAAGGGGACCAGATCGAGAACTGCTGTGACAACAGATGAGTGCTGCTGTGACACTGTTTGAAAATGAAGAGCTCCAAGGTTCTTTTTTTTTGCGAGAGGGATACGATATTATCTTTTTTTGGTGGAGCACAGAAGAGCTGTAACAAAACAGGATCACAAGAAGATGCGATCGCTCTTTTTTTTTCCGATCTGTGACACCTTATCCGATGTCTTTGCGATTTGGTCCTGCCTCATATAGAATATCCTGAGAATCACCTTTGAAGGATCGTCATCCTGTTTTCAGGTCCAGATCTTGAAGGAGATCACCAGGCCCGTGGGCGCGCGACCCGGTCGTGTCGCCGGTGAAAGAGAGACCTTCGTTCAACCAAACAGGAGATCCCGTGGACCCGGAGTCGAGCCCCACAGCTTCCCAAGTGGTGCGTCCGATCGCCAGGCTCGATTTGCGAAGAACTCCCGGCGTTGGATTCGTGGCCCACCCCATAGTAGCCGGCGAATCCCGAACCACCGAGCTGTTTTATGGATTTTAACACCAAAGCCTTGTCAACCACTTTTTAAACCGTTTTTAGTCTTAAGAGGGTCAAAATATAGTATTAATATACTGCTAATTCTGGCAGATTTTTTGGGCACACAGCAGATGCTGAAGTGAGATGTTTTGCACATCTCTGGTCTCATCTGGTGGTCTCTGCTTAAAAAGAAGAGACTCAACATGAATCACAGAATAAAGTTCTAACGAATTAAGCTGATCAAACACAATGCAATCCGAAGAGCTGTGCTGTGCCAGATCGTTTTCCTTCTGTGCCGATCGGACCCGACACCTTCAGCTCCGCGCTCGTGAAGGCACCAATCGGAGGACCTGCAGGTCCTGCTCTGCGAGCCACAGGACACCGGACGGAGCCGGTGGTTTTGCGATCGTGGACCTGTGGGTAGGGGAGTGCGGTGGGTGATGAAGCTTTTGGATCTGTGACCAGAGAGTCCGGATCACTAGTCAGTTGCTTCTTGCTCCTAGTAGTAAGGCCCTTGTTACTAGCTAGCGATGCACTTGTTACTAGTAGCGAACCTTGTTACTACTAGTAAGGCACCTGTTACTGGTTGACACATCCCCTCATGTTTCTTTTGGGTTGCCGCTTTCTGTGCTGAAGATTTTCAGCTTTTGAGGGAATCTCAACGGGGGAATTGTCTCAGTCGGCAGGTCCGTGATCACCAGCGGTCCAGTCACAGTGAGTGTCATTTCTGAGATCTTCAGTTTGCTTTGTGAATTTCTGTGCCACAGACTTTGAGCTGTTCCTTTCACAGAACTTAAAGGAGCATAGCTGTTTGAGTGCTGCTTTGCACTCTGAAAAAGAACCGATCAGCTTATCCAAGACGTTCGGAAGTCCTTTTCTCGTCCACTCGTTGTTCTTCTCATGGTCCTACTGTTTAAGAGCCTCAGTTTCAACAGTCTTCAGTCTTTTTACCCTCAAATGCAAGGATCAGATAGTTGTCAACGATCTGTTTTTCACGACGGTTTAGGTATTCCACCCCTGGGAGGGCCTTCGAAATATTTTATCTTGCAGGCCACCAGAGAAGCCACCGAATTGCCTCTTTAGCAGTTCTTACAACGAGGTGCCTATTGGAGGATGGGGGTGCCCAGAACATCCACTCACTGGATGGGACTAAAAACCACTCCGACATGTGATTCTTGGTTCAGCCGTTCTCTTTTCGTCATCGCCAAATTCCACAGCTCACCCGGCTTGTTCACCCGGCTTTCGCAGCTTCAGGGCAGACACTGTTTGGACACCCAGACCGACACCCGATGGGACGGTGTTTGGATGGCAGAGTTGAAAGGTAGGTAAAGGACCACAGGCTGGAAACACTCCTTTGTTTGCGGGTATAAATATACCTCTATGGATCTATGGGCCATTTTGTGACTGGTTCACGTGGTTGGGAGATTCCTAATATATTTTATCTTTTGCCTGTGCAAAAGGGGGGTGATGTTTTGGAGGGCCACCTTTTTGCTTCCTGGTGATTTGAGGCTCATTTGGTGCTGGTGATTTGGGCTTTTGGTCCAAACCTGGGAAACCTGGTTGACTGCCAAACATGAACAGAATGGACGACCGAACAGGTCCACCTACCCAGATGAACCTGGGTTAGATCCGGCAAAAACCATGGATCGCGGAAGAGGGCATTGGCAATTGGGCAAAACAACATGGAAGAATGGGGTGACAAGATGATGTAAGATGTGGGATCTCACCATCAAGATCCTTCATTTTTCAACATGGTTCAACGGTTTCAACATGAAAAAGAGACCCTGTTTCCTACTGGGGTTGGATGAACTGCACACTCTTGAACCTTGTTATGGGTTTGTATATAAGTGTTCTCTCTCCTTTAGTGTGACCTAGTTGTTGCTAACAGCCAAAGCACGAGGAAGCAATAGAATACCTATATTCCCTGCAGCCCCTTGATTTAGCATCTTAGGACTCTATGTACCATCTCTTTCTTTGGGGTCTTCAGCACCACTCCTCTTCACCATCGCCATCCACACTCGTTCCCCAAACCGTTCGGAACGCCGACGTCCCGACCTCCACTCGTTCCGCGCGGGCGGAGCACGGTGCCTGGTTTCGCCGCCGGCTCCGGCTCCACCAGAAACCGCCGACGGCGCGGCACGGGCGCCGCGCCCGGCCGCCGGGCCGCCATGGCGGCCGCGCTGGCGGTGAAGGTGCGCATGGCCTTCGAAGAGCTGTCGCTGAGCGGTGACGGACTGGTGCCCTGGAGCCTCTTGGTGTCGAGCTCCGCGCCAACTTGACCGAAAGGGGATTAAAGGAAGGGGACTAGAGGAGTGAGGAGACCTCTTGCTTTTTTTGTTCCAATATTTTTAGTTTTCAGGTCACAACGTCTTGATCGTAAAAGTCCATTCCACAAAGATCTTCAAATGTCCATGCTACTATGCATTTTATAGTCTAAAGGCAGGTAAGAAGAAACCTATTGTGACACTCTTGTTCCTCATCCCATTTTGCCATCATCGGTAAGGCTTCACCCCCTGGATCGGCCGCCCCGAATCGCCCGTCTGCCCCCCGGCACGTGACGTCGGGTGGACGTCGTCCCAGGTCGTTTGGAGGAGCTCTTCTTAAAGTTGGAGGTAAAGCCCAAGGCGACCAAAACCCGTCTCCCACCGCTCAATTCTTTAGACGGTTGCTCCGTTCGTGTGGGCGTCGCGATGCCCAACATGTTCCGTTCGTAGCGAACCTTGTTCCTAGTAAGGCCAGGAGCTACGTTTGTAGCGTCCGATCGCTCCGTTCGTAGCAGCGATGCCCTTGTTCCTACATGCTTGAACTCACTGACGAATATGTTTTGTTTGAAACCGCTGAAACCAGATATCCTCCACCCGGGAGCCCGAGAGGGTTCCATCCGACTGCAGTCAGTTCCCGGGACCTTAGGACTCGGACTCGGTCGCTGTTAGGAGGTTTTTTTCGAGAGCGGCCTGATCCCGATGGTGGACGAATCAATGGTGCAGTGGAACAGTGGAACGTGTAGTACGTGGAACGGTGAAAAAGATCAGACAAAATCACCGCTAGTAGAAACAAAGATAAAAGAAAAGGAATGAAAGGTCCAATAGTAGCTTCTTGTTCCTAGTAGTACGGCCAGGAGCCCCTAGTAGCGTCCTTGCTCCTAGTAGTACGGCCAGGAGCCCCTAGCGAATAAATGGTGCAGTGGAACGGTGTTGTGTAGGTGAAAAATATCAGCGCATAGCGCATGGGTGTCAGACTCGATGATGGTGTCAGAAGCGCATTGGGTGTCAGACGTGTGGAAGAAGCTGGAAGGAGGGGTTGGACTGGTGCAGTTTTGCTGAGTTCTTCGACCAACCAAACAGGATTCTCAAGTCAGTTTTGTTTAGTCGAGGATTTGATCTGCCATTGACCACAGGAGTTTTACGACCTGAAAAAAGGGAGAGGAGCTTTGAACATCAACCAACTCTGAAGATTGGATCTGAAAGCACTGCTGGAGATTTGTGCGATTTGCACGAAGTTTTAAAGAACCTTCTCCACTGGCGTTTGACAGACGATGCAACTGAAACAACCTTCAGACAGACGGTTTTTCAGACGACTGAAGAGTCTCAGACTGAAACAACCTTCTGCCATTGCTCTCAGGTTGGAGGCCATTGCTACTAGGGTTTTTCGGCCATCGCTATTAGGTTGGAGGCCCTTGCCACTAGGGTGGAGGCCATCGCTCTTTGTTTGTTCAGTCTGACTTCAGTCACGACGCCACCATGATGCCACCAGGCTATCCAACTGTGTCGGCATTTGGTCGACGCTGAAGGGCTTGTGGACAGCGCAGAGCTGTTGCCGGGTGGAAGCGTTATCCTCGGGATGGATGATGGTGAAGGTAGACCATATGATATATAGCCCTGTTCAAGGGGGATTCCTGCCACGCAGATGGAGACCAGCAAAGATGATTTTTACATGTTTTTACGGTTTCGACCAGGTCAACCAAGATGTTTGTGTATGATTTTGTCGTACATCGGTTGCCAGGTAGTATAGGTCATCAGGGGCCCTCGTTCGGTTTACGGTTTGGTCTTGGAACCGCGTGGTCTCGGAGCTTCACGGCGTCCGGAGAACACCCGTCGTCACGTCGCACGGGGGTGGCGGTTCAGCCCGAGAGGCTGTGGCACTCAGGTTCCGGTGGCTCTACGACGGAGAGGATGTGAGCCCTTACCATGAGGGCCGTCGTCACTCGGCGCCAAAGCTCGAGAGTTGAGTTGGGGTTTTGGCTGCAGAAGAAGGAGCTCTTCTGCCTAAAGTGCTGTTGGAACTTTGCAGGTTGGAATATGGGAAAACTCCAAAACCGTTCTTTCTCCACCTTCTTGATCTCTTGATGAAATCTACCTCCGACCCACCCCCTGCTCTCACCGGGCATACCCGGACCACCCAACGCGACGCTCGCGGAGCCGCTCCCCCCAGGTCTCCATGAACGGGTGCCGCCCTGTCGCTGGTGCATCAGCCGCGGCTTGGTCGTCTCGGCTTCTTCTTTCGGGTGGAAAAACGGGATCTGTCCTGGTTCCTGGCTGGATCTACACTTGACACGACCAGTTCGACCTACATGCCCATCCTACTGGAAGAGATGCCGCCCCATCCCTGAAATGATGTGCACCCGCCTTGGGATGCAGCTCGTCCGTCGCGTCAGTCCAACCTCATTCCCATGGCCTATCCTTTCTCATTCAAGGGGTGTCCAAGGCGGTCTATTGGAGACCCAACAGGATGGTCCACCTGGTGCTTCAAAGTGACCTATTTTGATTGGTTAGATGTCACTTAGGCCTGGACAGGCCTAGGTCACGTCACTTGGGGACTCCAAAAATCAATAAGATGTGTCTTTTCACTTAAGTCACTTAGGAACAGGTCACGTACCGTATATGGGGACTCCAAAGGTCCAATCTCGTACATGATTCTAGACACCTCGATCTTACCAAAAAAGGCAGGCCCCGACTTCCTTTCGAATCTCCTTGCTCCACAGACTTGGCCAAGTCCAAGATTTGACGATCCAATTGGTCCATACCTAGCACTTCCTGTCTGGGTGCCCAATAAAGAGGAGACCTATTTATGTAGGGTAGGCTTGTCCAGCCAGGTGACCCGGAACGGAAGCAGCTGGTCTATTCCAGCTGCTTCCGTTCGGGGTCACCAATGGTAAGTGATCTCCACACTACTTATGTAGGTCTTCAGACAGGGCACCCCGACAGGAAGCAGCTGGTCTATTGGTCCTTCTGTTTTTTCTTTGCCAATTCCAAGGCTGCGACTTCCAGGACTTTGTGGCTGAGGTCGTGGAGACCCACCGCGCGGGCAGGTGCGACCCGGAGAGGTCGTTGTAGTCGATCGGTCCTTTCGGTGCGAAAGGAGGTTGGAGGGGTGAACAGCTGGTAGGTTGGTTAGAAGTGAGATGAAGTGAGATGAAGTGAGAAAAGCTGGTATTGATCAGATGTTAGAAGTTCATAGAAGTTCAATGAAGGAAAAGACAGATTTGCCTGTCTCAGAATGGACTTTTCACAGGTGCTGATCCATAGGCATCTCACACGGAGGAAGTTTAGAGTTTAGGCCCGTTTTGCGACGTCTGAACATCCTGCCTTCTATAGAAATTCTGTCGTTCGGACACAGCAGGAACATCTCGACACCACGAGATGCTTTTCACGTACGGGGAAAACGCGTACGAACAACATGTCCACGAGATCTGCAAGATGACTCGAAGAACTGTTGGAACTGCCGTGCCAACGGGTGCCAGCCTGAAAACAGAATGTGCCAGTATTTTCGGTCAAAAGGACACGAACATCCACCTGATTGCTCATTTCATGTTGAACCAACTTACAGGCCGTGGCAAAACACCGTGGGCAAACCCGAGTATTAAAAAATAGATCCAACACCATGGCCGGAACTGACGGCATGGACTTCTGGGGATTTTCCTCCGCCAGGATCCTGAACCAGCCGAACCCACGCACCAAGGCCGGGGGAGTTGTGGGTCTTGGAGATGGCCTGAGAGTGGGAAGGTCGGAGGTTTCTCAGAGGAAGATGGATAGTAACAGATAGTAAGAGGTAGATTCAGAAGGATTCAGGTAGATAGGTGCTGCTCAAGTCAGTGAAGACACCTTGAAACACCCTGCCACCATCCACCACCTTACCTACCGCAGAGGTTGACTATAGCGGCATATAGCGGCCCTATTTTGCTTCACACAGATCACACTAGTCAATCGCCTTCCCATGTCATCGCTTGACACTGGACCCAAATCGGATGCCCCAGTCTGCAGCCCGACCTAACCCGCTATTAGTTGGTGTATTTAAAAAAGGGTATACAAACCAATATGGTGAACCACCAAGTTCGATCTCTGGTCCCTGGCAAAAAAATAAACGCTCCGTCCTTCGTGTCCTTCGTCCCCTTCACCAAGCTTGCCTCTTCCCCGCTCAGTCTCACTTCGCCGCAGGAGCCCAACCCTTTCCATGATGACGAGCATGTGGGGCCCAACATGCACGCCGTGAACGAAGCAGTGATCCGACCCAGGCTGGTGCGAGTCATCGAGTTCGCGCGAGGCGAATGCGATGGCAGGGCGAGTCGTTCGCGCGAGTCCCGGGCCGTAAGCCGCCGGATGAGAGAACGGTCATTGTGGGTGTCTTTTTGTTTGGGGCGACGCAGAGGTTAGACTTCCCGCTAGACGTTGTTTGTCTGCTGGGAAGGGGTGCGTTTGTTTGTACGCTAGAAGTCCAGGGTTCACGACGTCGTTTGGGGCACCAGCTGAAGTAAAGGAAATTTTTGGACTCGGATCACCCGTTTTGGCCATGTGAGTCCTTTGGTCTTGGACTTCCAGGGTGTAGGTCTCTCAAGCGCAGAGTGGTGGCAGCAAACTTGTTTGATGCACGCAAACAGCAAACAGCCTAGGTATGAACAGAAAGGTCTGTTTGGTCTTCAGGAAGCATATGGTTGTCCATTCAGGCCTACTTTTGCTGAAGGATCAGAGAGGTGAAAGATTTGCACATATATTTGGACATTCTTCCCCACTTTACAGTAAATTACGGGGGTTGCTCGCCAATTGGTTGAGGTTCCCTTTTGTCCAGCCACGCCCCCCCAAAAAGGTTGACGTCTTCACTGTGTTTGGTGTTTAGATACTTTTGTTGCTTCTCCGAGTAAATCCCCTTCTAGGGAAGATGTGTTCCCGGTTCCTGGACAGCAAGACCAAGGATGATAAGGAAAGCATATTCCAGAGTGAAGTGACCCAAAGTGATCCGCTAAACTTAGGACCGCCCGTGCCGGTGGCATGTCATGGGTCGCTTGGAGAGAGGGAATCTGCGGAGATGCAGTTGGACAAGAAAAGGGTTTTGGGAAGACCAATAATTTCCAGGAGTGTGGCATGTATGCAGTGTTAATTTGCTTGACCACTATTGCAATTTGTGGAGAAAGTTGTTCCAAATTTTAACACCAAATAGAACAATCGCAGTGGAGGGTCAGTGAGCAAGATTATGGAACTGCTACGTGTGTTGCATGATCGGACCCCTTTGCTGTGGGGCATCTAAGGCTGTTTCATTGAGGGCATTGTAGAGAAGTTTCCGTGTTGAGAGCCCTTGAGTCCACTTGCAAGCATGGTGATAGCGAAAACTTGGTGTTTAGAAAGGCCAGCGGAAGGCCACCCAGTGGAAATATATTCTGTCATATTCTTTCTGATTCTTGATAAGATCAGGCTGCACCATCGTGGGTCAAGTGGAACCTTCCTTCAGAGTGATGTTTTTTTGCACAAAAACGTCAAACACTCTGTTGACTTATAGACATCGACTCACACCCTACACATCCCTACACCTGAAAGCGCAAGGAAAAACTGAACGCCTTTGTGCTCTTCTCGGCTGACCATGGCTCACCCAAATGTACCAAACCACATTGTCGCAGCAAGCTGGCCCCTACCGGCATTCAGAAGACCTAGGACCTAGGAACATGGGAGAGGAGGTTATGCCCATCTCATGAATACCCATGCGAGAAACCTGTCATGAGCCACCACATGGTCGCAGAGTTGTGCAACAGGTCAAAACTTGCCACGTCCTCCATGAAACCAGTTTTCATGCAGAAAATGGGTGTGAGACGACTGTTACAGAACAAAACCAAGCGGTTTCACCCATTTTCATGCAGGTTACTGTACAAACTTGAGATGAACAGAAAACGGGATGGGTGTGAGTCCAACCCCCCAAACCAAAGCGGAGCTGGTGACTTTAATAGATCACCACCCCCCTAAAATGACCACATGTCCTGAAAATCATTCTAATTATGGGAAGACCAACACCTAATGTTTCCACGTGGTCCAACATCATCCAACACGACACCACACGTCACCTGGATGTGTCGTAACTTGCACCGGGACCTCGGCCGTGGCCGGTGCTGCGGTCCCGGCGACCAGCAGAGTCCGGACGCGGACCGCCGCTGAGGCGTTGATGTTGAGCCCCGAAGGCCTCTCCGGAGAGTTCTTCTTCGTCGCGCGGGCACGGAAGGATGGGAGGGAGGATGGATGAAGTCGGAGAAGCTGGTGGTGTGTGGAGAGTGCTTCATTACGGTGCTATACGGTGCTTATAGTATTTTTTTAACCATGAATTAGAAGCCCGTGTAAGATCAAAGACGTGTGTCTCACAAAGATCCTGGGTTCTTCATATGTTCTTTTGTCCCTCTTCTTTTCTCGTCCTCTCTCTCCCTTCGGATCTGTCAGATGAGGCCAAGGGTTGATGGTTTGGAGAGACATGCTCGGGAGGAACTTGATTCCCATCCAAGTTTGTTCTATTGCCTCTAACAGTCGGTAAACAATGATCACACTTTTGAACAAGGATGAACAAGGCCTTTACATGTAAATCATCATCATCCGCTGTTATGGGTAGTTACGGTAGTAGGATAGACCCAACCCATATCCGAGTGAGATTGTTTTCAAGCGATCACGCTGTGTTCACAGAGATCCTGCACTGACTTTCGACTAGATCTCCCGATTTCTGAGGTCACTCACTCCTGGAAGGAAGGCGTCTACGAGTTCAGCCGCAAGGACACCGAAAACGAGACACCAGCGGTCGAGTGGTCTTTCTTCAGACGCCAGAGACCAGTGAATCCATGTGAATTTGTTGCTACCAGGGACAAGAAAGAGACGGAAGTCCATGTGCGTCGGAAGTCTTTTGTGCACCAACTCAGCAGAAGCCCCGGGTAGCTTTGGGCTGGAAGGAAAGCATCGAAGCAATCAGATGGCCAGTGAAAGTTTCTATCATGCGAGCTGCAAGACCTATCAGCTGGCCTTGGCAGGTCTTGAACCATTGGCAAGATGAAGCGCTCTCCATGTGGTGCTGCTTTTTGGCCAATCCACAAACCTGGCAGCGCGAGGACTCGTGAAGCGTAGCGTGTGTGGTTTCGTGTGGAAGAATGTCGACGTGTGTTGTGTTCGCTTGGAACACGATGAATGTCGGCGTCTCGGCGTCGTGATCCAGAACGCAACCGAAAATCGGAACAGAAAAACACAACGACTTCTGGATGAGAGCACACTCAAGCTCTTTTTGCATGGTTTTGCTTTGTGTTTGATACAAACGACTTGGCTTCCTGACAGCCCTGGAACACAGGGCGATTCCCAACTTACTGACCTGGAGCAAAGGTTACCAGGTGTCGGAGGTTGACGACCTCTTGGGAACTTCAGGTGATGCCTTTATGTTCCCTGTGGCACCTGAGGTCAAATGGCCGTGGGTCAAAACCTCTCGCAACCAAGCCGTTGCTTCACCTCCCTCGCAGTCCGTTCATGTTCGGGGGTCAATCAAGGTCCCCCGGTCAAAGGTTTTTTCATACCCAACCTTTCAACCCCTAGACACATGGACAACTAAACCTAGAACCTGATTGACCCCTGTTTGGGAGCCAAAACATGTTCTTTGTTTCAATTTGTTCATATCAAAAGAGGTCCATCAGGTTCTAGATATTGGGCTCTGCTCCTGGTCTACCCCTTTTCTTCCGACCCATACCGGTCACTTGGACCGCGTTCGTTCGTCGAAGGGAGCCCAGCATCGTGGAACCTCCGACGCCGTCGGTGTCCGGCTGGGCGGTGACGGACAGTGGGACACGCAGCATCCGCCTTCACCAGTTGGATGTGCATTTCAATAGGGAGAGACCCAACCAAATGGGTTTGGGTCTCCATGTCACCATCTTTTTGATACACACCCATGATCACCCATGTTTAAAAATGAAAAGACCTGGTTTTGTCGTGTAGAATTCATTTAAAAACAATGTACAGTAGTGTTTGTTGGGGATGAGAAGAAAAGGCTGTGAAATCAATGGTGGGCCACGCATCGGCGCCCGCTCCGGACTGAGCACCTGTGTGTTTTGCGTCGTTGGGTGAGATTTGTCCACCTTCCAAAACCGCATCTTGCAGCTCCCCCCTGGAAAATTTCACCAAGCTCCATGTTTCATCGACTTCAAGAAAGTACCTCGCGGTATGTGTTATTTTTTTAATCAGGGTTTTCCGGGGTGCGTTTTGGGCAGTTTCTGGTGCCATCTCCTCGGTTTTCGGATATAGCCAGATTGAAAATGACGTCCTTCAAAACGGTGGATAAAGAGCCGTTCTCCCCTTTGTTCGCTGTGCTGAACGTGGACCCCCGACCCTTCTCCAGGACCTAAATCAGCTGTCACTTGGAGAAATGGATGTGGAGACATAGCCTGGAGTTTCACCAGCTTTGGTAGAAAGAACAGGTGTTCAGGTGCTAAACGTGGAATTTTCAGTTGCTTCGCCATGCTTCGCCTTTCAAGTCATCGGTGCGCGCAACCCGAAACGAATTCCGTTGGAAGCTGCGTGGCGGTGTTTCAGTGCGGTGTGGCACTGTCAGAGGGTTGGAAGGAAGGAACACGAGAGGTACGACATCCCCTAGTAGCGTACGGTGATGTGTTAGACCTCCACTGGTGCCGGTGCCAATATCTTCGTCGCTTCGGTCAGTTGGTCAGTTCCGACTCGATCCGAGAGGAAACAGGGGTTTTCACTGGTCGGTGACTCCCAACGAAGCGAGCTTAACACTGGGCGAGACGGTGGTTCTGCCGTCGATTCGCGGTTCTGCCGCATAGAAAAAGGCGAAGAGCATGATCTTGGGCAGACCTTAGGACCTCACTGTTGCAATCCATCTGGTGAAAACCAGGTGATACTCGCATGGTTCTGTATTGTGTTTGCTTCAACTAATTTGTTAGGCAGTGAACCCAAAGAAACCATATCTATCCATATCTCAAAAGCATCAGCCACACGATTTCTGCAGTCCTTTTTCTCTCTTCACCTCACCATCCACCGGTCCTTTTGGCGAACAATAAAACGACGGCCGGACGGAAGAAAGTTCGACCGGACCGAGACCGCCGGGTCTTCCGGCCTCGCTTTCAGGTTGGGTCAATCCTTCGACCTCATGGACTCTCCGTTTATGCAGGCCACCGACGCACGTGCGCACGCGCGCTGCGTCTGTCGCGGATAGAGCGAGCGATCTCCCGCGCTGCGTATGTCGAGAAGATAGCGCGCGTGCGCGTTTGGACTAGGCCGGGGGACGTTTTCAAGTGTCCGAGCACGAAGACTTGGGCCAATGGGAGCTGCACACATCGTGATGGGTGGAAGATTCAGGTACGACACTCCGTGTATGGAATGTATGCGCTACACTAATACATTGACCCCTGAAACCATGCAAGTATGGCTGTTCCATGCAGCGTCTGGGGTATGAGTTGTGCAGTCACTCCTTAGTCTTTGTCAAACATTGTCTCGGAGGATGTTTGAGGGATTTGTGAAGATGCAGTTCCAATTCGGATACCATGTATGCAAGCAGAAGCAGGGTTCACCCCATATCTGCAATGACACAAGTTCATATAGGAAGTATATATAGTTTGAGTGCATGTAAGATCTTTCATCCCCTGATGACTAGTAGCTTTGGTCGAGCTTCCAAGTGATCGCTGCTTGCTGTTTCACCTTTGGCGTTCTGGCCGTGTATCAAGCCGAAAGAACACAGCCACACTGAAACCAAAAGCTTCCGAACAGATCCACAAAAAAGACCTATAGCTCCAAAAGCAGCCCAAGCCAGGAACCCAACAATTCAAACAGTAGACCAACTCAATGAACCAATCAGCTTCTTTCAACCATCCGCCATTTCCAAAATCCCGCCCTTCTTGAGCCTCACACTTCGCTTCATGCCATCTCCAACCGCCCCGCGCATGTCTGGCGCCACATCTCCTGCCTCCTTTTTTCGGCTCCCCAAAGCCCTGAATCGGCGTCAGCTCGAGCATCAGGCACTGTCCTCCCAGCAGTTGCACTCCTTCGTGGTGGTGCCCAACGTGGCTTGAAGATCGACGAAGCGAGAGATCCCCGTTGGATTTGGTTCCATGGGGTCCATGGGGTCCATAGTAGACGGCCAGATGTTCCAGGAGTATATGTAACGTTCTTCAAAGAACTCTTAGTTTTTTACGCTTTTGGTAGACTCCACATCTTCTTTTCGTGGTCGGAAGGCGACTTTGGGCGTTTTTTCCTCTCTCGGTCCGGATCCAAAGCAAGCTTCATCCAGCTTCGGTCGATTCTCTCTCGATAGATGTGACCCGTTGGGTTCCCATTGCCTTCTCTTCCGAGCTGCACGAGCTGCACAGCAACACAGGTCACCGAGAGCCTCTACTGCCGCCTTTGGTGCGTGGCTGAGCTGTGGAAGGTGCCGCGGCAGACTTCTGAGAGGGAGATGTTTGATTGGGTTAACCTGGATCGTCTGAAGATCTGAGAATATGATCTGTAGTCCCCCAAAAAGGAGACGCATACTGCCAGGCTGAAGTAGGGATATAGTTGACCAGGTTTGGATGAAGAGGAGAACTTGGTTCTCTGAAAAATGGAGCATTTGCTTCGCGCAGTGTCCCAGGCAGCAGGTCATGAAAAAACTTCTTCTTTCCAGCAGATGCAATGGCTCAGGCTTGGGTGAGCCAATACACCCGAGCAGATGCCAGTTCACCCAACCATCGGCAAGCCTCGTTCTGGACATCCAATGGAAGAGCTGTCACTGAGGTCGGCTGTAGGTCCTGGGCCCCCACAGCGAACCCAAACCCCTGGTGCGCTTGAGCCCACACCGAACACTGAACGGACCTGATCGCCGCCGCGCTCGCGCTCGCGAGCGACCCAGCCGGTGTACCCAGGCGATGGAGGTCCAGAAGCTGCGGGGAGATGGTCGGATGATCCAAGTGGCCAAGGACAGACACGGTGGAGGGGGGATGGGCGAGCATCCGGGGTTTTGTAAAGGTTTCTTTGTTTTGGAAGAGCTGACCCTGCAGCTGCAAGTGAATTACACTCTGAAAGAATCATGGGAAGTGGCAAACCCAGCTGTTTGGTATGAGGAAAAGGGTCATCCGAACTCAGGGCCATCCACATAACGATGATTTCAGGAAGTGTATGTATAGGTATGTTGGGTGGATAGATGCATTTTCGGAAGCTGGAACTGTGAGTGGGCAAGAAAAACTGTGGTGCTTTCTTTGGACCTTTCCTGTGTGCTGCAAATGAGACTCACACGACAGCCAGTAACTCCTTGGTGTGAAGCACACGATTGAGACACGGACCATGTCAAAGTGAGAAACTTCTCAAGTGGACAAGCCGTTCAGGCGCGGTTCAGCAGTGGTTTTGTTGACCATTTTATAGTTAGTGGAACAGTGGATCCAAGTCTGGATATGCATAGCCAATCATGGGAAAACATGAAACAACGAGATATGCATCTTCCTATACCCACCAAGTCTTCCACTTCGTCATTTTCCGCCCCGAAATCGAGCGTGTGTTCACAACCACCGGCAGTGGGTCTAAAGCAGTACCCTACAAACCACGGAAGGTTGACATCCCTTGTAGATGGATCTCTTCAATCGATCGGTGGTTCACCAGGGTCCCCCTGTTTTGACCTGCCAAACGTGGGCACCGAGACCTTTTTGTGTGAACAAGTTCGATTCGAAAGGTTAGTTGGGTGTAGACTGGACCATGGGTCCAGTTGGAGAAGGTTTGACCTACCGCACACGACCAAATCCACCACCTTGACCCTCCGGACCCTACCCAAAGAAGCAAAGAAGGAGGGACAATCAGAATGGGTTCGAAGTGAAATACACTCAACAAAAATTGGGCTTGAACGTTTGGAAGTGAAACATCTCAAGATTTGAGGACAATGTGAAGGATTCTCACAAGGCCGGGAGGAGGTCCGTTCTGCACGACCTCGCTGTGGGGCGCAAAGCACGCGGCAGAGCCGGGGCGTTCTCGAACACGGGGTTTTCTCGTCGGGGGGGTCGGGAACGCAATCGCTCAGACATGTCGTCAAAGGCCCATGCATTTGCACAGTAACTAAGAAGCTATTAGGAACAAGTGCATCGCTTCTAGTAACAAGTGCCTTACTAGTAGGAACAAGAAGCTACTAGGGGCTCCTGGCCTTACTACTAGTAACAAGAAGCTATTAGGGGCTCCTGGCCTTACCAGTAGGAGCCTTCGGACGCTCGAACGGGGCTCCTGGCCGTACTAGTAGCAAGAAGCTAGTAGTAACAAGTTCTGCAGGTCTCAGAGACTCTTGGTTGATAGGTCTGTAACAAGTGCATGAGAGATTATTCTGTGTGCGTGTGTCATTTGCCACGGTCAGGAGCCACCTGAATGGATCCTCAAAACATGACTAAAACATACTAAAACGTTGTTTGATGGAGATGACACAGTTATCTGACTTATTTCTTTTGGTCCATCACGGTGGCGGAGTTCTGACCCCCAGGTTTAGTGCAGCGGAGAGCATAGTCGGACTACAACTCACGGGGGTGAAGAGGGTGAGCTCTGCTGGAAGCTTGACTGGGGTGGATATACTCGGTCATATTTGAAGTGGATGTGTCCTATTTCCTGCTGGACGATCCTCACTCCCTGAAAGCATCATGCTGTTTGACCGCTGTTCACCAGCTGTTTGGCGCTGTTTGACCGATTTGGTCATCCGACTCATCTCATCGGGACCGTCGGGATCCGTTGTGTTTGGTTCCATAACGAGGGCATTGCTAGTAGCAAGAAGCTAGTAGGTCTTGGACCACGGTCTTAGAAGCCAATTGGTTTTTCCTTGAACCATTTTGATCCACTGGGTGAACAGGATGAGTACATGTGAGTATCCTATTTCTGAGTCATACCGCCATACCACACACTCCCTGGAATCGTTATGTGGATGGCATGGTGGTGTTTCACTTTGATTGTTCCAGCACGTGTATTGTTTGTACTTGTATTATAGAAAATTTGCATTTACAGACTGACCCAACAGTGACAGAAGATGATGATTGATATAAAACCAGCAACATGGATCGAAAACACTGGATCTATACCTGCACCATCCATTCAATGGGTGTCCTGTCTGGAGATCCGCAGTGTAGGGTAGTCCAGCCAGGACACCCAGACAGGATGGTCCTGGTATATACCCTAGGGATCCAAGTACCTTCTCAGAAGGTGTTTGGGATGGGGAGGGTCCAAGTGCCTTCTGAGGTTCGGTACGACTGGATCCCTAGGGATAGGAAAAAGGGGTGATCTATGGCATACACCATCAATCTAGGCATATATGGCATACATGGAGTGTCTGGGTATAGGAAAAAAAGGAGTGATCCATAAACCACCCGAACTCCGTGGCGCTGCATATCCTGATCCATCAGGTCCGTCCCACTGAGATCGCCACGCTGATCCACGGAGCCACGTGCTCCGATGTGGCCTGGCGGGGACGCGTTGGCGAGAAAACGGGTGGAATGAGATGGGATGGAACATGATGGAACCATAGATGGCCTTGACAAAGATCTACTAGACATGGGACTCTTATATTTATCTATAAAGGAGATCATAGGGTGGTTGAATTGGGGTCCAGGTCGGGTTCAATGTCGGCAGGTGTTTGTAATATGGAGTCTTTGGGTATACTCAATGGATCTCAATTGGTTTGATTCATCGAATTGAGGGGATCTACTCCCCGGTCCAAAACGTACCTGGCAGCTGGACCGGACCTCGAAGAATCTGTACGTCTCAGACGTCTCCGGTATGTGGGTGGTACCTGGAGCCCCACACACAGGTTGACCATGTCAGGTATACACCCTGGTGTCGACGATCGCATGGACCCTGAAAACACACTCACACTGCCTGGTAGAGGAAAAAACAAAAAGGACGCAAGGGGCGGACGTCAGGCAGGGTGTAGACAGGCGAGCCCCAAACGTAGGCGAGACAAGCGTGGTGGCACCCACGACGTCACCGGTCGGACCGGTGAGTGCAAAAGGGTAGTCACCCAGAAAGTCCCCTCCGCTTTTGTTGTCTTTGGTTTCAAGAGATGAGGGGGGTCACGGTTCTTTGGAAAAGAGATGAGGTCACGGTATATATGTCTTTTGTATTGGTTCGAAGTCACGAAGTCTCTGAGATGAGGGGGACTGTCGTCTTCGGCGTCTTCGGTTTTACTTTTTTTCTGTCATGATGTGGCCTCGGTGGGTGCAGCTAGAGTGGGTGGAAGAGGTCATTCTCCAATAGAGATTCACTCTCGGAGGTGGGGTTGAGGAAACTTATGGTGGAAACATGCTGAGCATGCCATTCAAAAGTATCCGCACTTTTGGGCAAATTTTACGGGTCAGCATCCTTTTGCCTTTTGGACGTCAATCCAAAGAGGGTTCACCGCAGGCGGGGTCCAAATGGCCATGCTTTCGAGGTCAACGATGAGAAACGGATTCGAGCCTACATCGCGGGCAAGGAACAACACATCCAGGAGAAGTCAATAGCGATCCAACTCGGACAGTCCTGGTGGAACATGGGGACATGGCTTGGGATTCTGGTTGCCAAGCTGAGGATTTCCCTTGAGACAAACACGCATATGTTAGGCCTGTCCGAACTTACCTGTAACAGTCGATCAAGAAGTATCACAATCTTAGAGAAAGGCCCGCCACCTAACCACCATCCTCTACTGGTAATGGGATAGACAATCAAACCATATCAAGCATACCTAGCACTTCCAATGGGGAGACCTGTAGGGTTGTCCAGCCAGATGACCCGTTGGAAGCAGCTGGTGTGATTCATCCAAGTTTCAGCTCAAAAGACCTCACGCCAGGTGCTGGATCCATTCTTGCCAACGCAACCTGTGCAACCTGTGCAACGCAACCTGTGGGACCATTTCCATGGCATATGAACCTGACTCTGACTGAACACTGGTGTAAAAAGCGGAACTCTCCATATTCACCTTATCATCCACCCCGTTCTTTTTTGTAGGCATGTTTTCTGGGAATGGTGTTTGTGCGAGCATCCATTCTTTTCTGCGGAACTGCAATGAATTGTAAAAGGAGACACTGGAACTTCAACAAAAGAATTGCCAGATTTGCTAGTCTCACCAGTCTCGTCATTTTTCATCAGCTTCACCAATTTGACCAAGTCCAAAAAGAACGTGCGACCGTCTTTGAAATTGTGGGATCATTCCTTATAGCCTAGTGTTTTGACATGTGGTGAACCGACACCTCCGAACTGCCAATTTACAACTCCAACTCGCCAAACAGGAACAGTGGCATTTTTCCGTGTCAGTGAGTGAGAGGGTATCGGCCACAAATAGGTTTCGGGACAAGGTCATGGCCTCCGCTTGCGGAACAACCAATCCCACACACTGGATCTTTGACCCCAAACAGCCCCAGAAAGACCCCCCCGTTCACCCACCCACCCTGGCCTGATCGGCAGTCCGACATGGCAGTGGGCGACAAATGTTGCCTTCCACAAGGCTGCAACGACTTCACCGTTTTCACGAGAAAGTATATAACCCGAACGAGAAACCACCAGCGGTCTCCACACAGCGGGTTAGGAGATGATCAAAGACTTGGCCGGGATGAAGAAGTCCAAAAAGACCCACCACAGCCACGCACTCGGTGAGGGTGGGCCAATGGCAGGAATGTAGTTACGGATGGTTAGTCAGATAGTCATGTTTCGAGCTATTGAAGCCAACATCTGCCAATGATGCAGAATTTCTACCTGTTCATCCATCAAACCAAGGCCGAGGCAGAAACTCTGAACAGTTGGAAAGGTCCCCAGATGTCCCAAGTAATTGATCTTAATGGATGTTTGTTGGTATTCAGTGGGACGAACTTCCCACCTCGCAGGTGAAGAGGCACAAGTGCTTTGCTTCGCTGCAGAATGATGGCAGAAGAGCTTCAGAACATGGGATTTGGACCTAGCCTTCCTTTTTGAAGCTACACATAGTTAGGAGGGTCAGCATGCTTACGCGAAAGTTGACAGTGTGTTTTAATTTGTTTCTTTAGAAGCATAGGGCGATTGGTGTTATGCCGCTACCTTTGGGCTTACAGTTCACGGGTGATGGGTGAGGCACTTTGTCACAAGTGCCGAGCTGCGCCTGCCCTGTCAGGCGATTCGTGGTGCCTTGCGTGCACCGCGTGCGAATCAGTCTCGTGCGAGCTCAAGGCTCGCTGGGGCTCGCACGAACTGAGGAGGTTGGCGGCAGATCAGCTGGTGGACCAGAGCAAGTCGATAAAGACCTTGAGGATCTTGTCACTGCGGCTGAGGTTTGAGGGTGAAGACCGCAGTGGGGCACGTTCAGGCCCGTCCACATCAGCTGGTCAGGCATTGGGGGCGACAGGGAAGGCGAAACCGGCTCCCCCTCCAAAAGCGCCGCCAATCCTCAAGGAGGCCGCAAACAAGGACTTTGAGGAGGTCGTTGAGGAGAAGGAGGACGAAGTCTACGAAGAAGAGTCCGAGTACTCCTATCAGACATCAGAGGAGGAAGAAGTTGAGCCCAAGAAGGACGTTGTGAGGCATCCACCTTCGTCGACCAAATCCGAGCCCCCCCAAAGAAGGGCGCTGGAAGTGCAGAGGCTGCAGAGGTCAAGAAGGATAGGAAGAGGAAACATCGCGACGGTGAGAGGCGAGACAGACAGTCGACAGGGAAGAAGGAGCACAAGGAGAAGAAAGAGAGGACCAGGCGAAGAGGGAGACGTGGAGGAAGCAAGCATCAACAAGTCCATCGGCAACACAAAGACCCTACGATTCGAGTGCATCGCAAGAGGAGCGTGGAGCAGCCACAGAGTTTTAAGGAAAGGAAGGAGCCTCCTTACCCCCCGCCGGGGAAGGAATGGCGACGTTGAGAGCAGTATTTCCAGCATGGGGCGAAGGAGATTCTTTCGCCTTGGAGGGAGGACCAGATTGGCATATGTTGACCCCCGTTCGAGGGGACATTGCGTTGATAGCTCTCCGGGACACCGACCTTGCAGCAGGAGGAGACGAGGAGGTCGCGTTGTTGGTGATGAACAGGTTTGTGACGCCAGAGGGCGGCATGGGTTTGGAGGTCAAGTCCATCGGGGGTTCAACCCCAGAAGTGACCCGGCAGTTCTCAACATGGTTCAACCGCAAGCAGGGGGTGTTACATTTGTGCTCAAGCACCCCTTGCACCTACACCGAGGACCACTTCCTTCACGCCGTTCGAGTCAGGTTCTTTACGAGAGGAGGATTCGAGGCGTCGTTTTATGGAGCTCCTCAGAAGAGGCAAGTGGCCAAGTGGCTAGGAGAAGGGGAGAAGGTTGTAGAGGACGCCGAGGCTGTCGAGAGCGAGGAGGCGGCAGAGAGGGAGCCGTCATCAGGAGATGCCGGTCGCAAGGAGAAAGGCAAGGGAGATGCCTCCACAAGGTCTTCAAGGCCAGGGGCTCGGCTTGGTGCGTTGAGACGCCCGAAGACTACAGCCAAGGGAACGCGACCCGATCCTCCGCCTCCCGAGGAACCACCTTTGAAGAGGAGGAAGCATGGGATCGAACAAGAAGGCATCGAGGAGGACCTGACCTTGGAAAGCTCAGCAGGCATTGGAGGAGAGAAGGCAGACGACCTGCGAGAGAAGTTGGATGCTCTGAGAGAACGGTTGGGGGCCAAGCCACGGCGGCGTGTCAGCTTTTCAGAGGATGCCAACGTGGAGGAAGAGTCAGGGGGAGCATTGCAGGATGGAGCCAAGCCTTCAAGCTCTGTTCCGGCGAGGCCGAGTCTATCGACGGGGACGAGTCTCAAGAGGACGAGAACGGAGCTAGGGGGTACAAGAGATTCTACTTTGAAGAGTGTCTCGGCCCAGCTGGCTCATCAAGCTCAAGTCGCCACAGGTCAGAAGGACGGTCGTTCGAGGGGAGGAGACGAGGAGTTGATGGAGTTGTTGAATCGAGCCATCTCCGAGCGCTCGAGCGCTGGAGGAGCGGCAGGAGGAAAAGCCCCATCGGACGGCGACGAGGGAAAGAAGAAGAAAAAGAAAAGAGGAAAGAAGAAGGAGAGAAAGAAGAAGGACAAAGGAAAGAAGCGGAAGCGCAAGCTCGTCAATGGAGTCATCGTCTCAACATCCAGTTCGGGAAGTTCCTCCAGCGAATCCAGCGGCAGCGACACCAACGAGTTCGAAGCGCCGCTTCGTCGCAGATCCAAAGCCAGCCCTGGCAGTGTCCTCAGGCTGCTGGTCCAGAAAGCCCAGACCGCCCTCGACCAGTCGGCATTGATAGAAGGAACAGCAGGAGGAGACGCCATAGTTGGAGGAGTGAAGCTGGTGACATACTTCCAGCTGCAGATCAAGGCGACGTTCGGCCATGCTCGAGGACCCATGCGAGACTTGGCACTGATGGCCACCACCCTCGACTTGTTGCGAGCCGGGCACATCGCCAGAGCGGCCGACGCCCTGGCCGGGCACTTCCTGGCGTGTCATCAGTCGCTTCACGATGGATCGTGGAGCCAGGCCCGATTCTTGGAGGTCGTGGACGATGCCGACCAAGCAGCCACCTCGGCATCGATATTGCTCGAGACTCGCCGCCATGCCAAGGCGACTATGAAGGTCGAAGCCCCGGAGTGGCTGCCGTGGAGAGGACGGCCGTGGCAAGGAGGCGAAGGCAGAGGAAAAGGGTGGTGGTCAAGCGACAAAGGCAAGGGAAAGAACAAGAAGGGCAAGAGCAAAGACAAAGAGAAGGGAGATCGGCACAAAGAAGGAAAGGGCAAGGCCGGTTGGAAGGACTTGCAGGACAAAGGAGAAAAGGAGAGTTGAGAGAGGATGGAAAGAAGGGGGCGACAGTAAATCCCTCAGAGGATTTGGAGGGTTTGGCACCAGCTTTGAAGAGGAGAAGGTGCTTGGTGGAAGGTGAGGCCGCTCAGACTCGAGAGGTCGTTGCATGTGCAGAGGAGGAATCACCTGAGGCCAAGCAGAGGAGTTTTGCACGAGCAGAGGATGAATTCGTTTCTGGCCACGACATTGTTCGAGCAGTGGGCAGCCGGCTTACAGGCCTTTTGAGTGCTGGTTGCCTTTTGGCTTGGATGACGCAGCGAGCTGGAGGATCCACCAAGGCCGGAGCCTGGTCGTGGATATCAAAGGTTGTTTTTGACAAAACATTGTCCGCAGCCAGTCGCGAGGGGCCCCGAAAGGCCGCCTCGTTCCCCGTGAGGCTAGGAGAGTTGAAAGGAGTGGTTGAGAAACTGAGGAGCATGAGCATTGAAGAAGTGTTGTGCCCCGACTTTCAAGAGGAGGCTGGAGAAGATTGTTGGTTGCTGTGTGCATTGACTGCCACAAACTTCCTGGCGGGCCATGGAGGCCCGCTGGAGGAGGGCAGATGGAGTGCCATAGAAAAGAGAGGAGTAGCGACCACCAGAGAAGCCGTGAAGAGGCTGCTCAGAACTCAACCTGGACCTCTCGAGAGCTTTGAAAAAGTTGGCATTGATCTCGCTCGCGCTCGGGTCGGATATGACGGGGAAGAACTGGGTAGTTGTGAACCTTTGACACTAGAACAGATTCTTCCTGCACTTCCTCCGGTCGAACACGGGGGCTCGATTCATCTCGAAGATATCGTTTCCAACGCCACCCGAAAACTCCTCATTGAGCCTGAGTTGTTGCTTCGCGATGATTTTTGCTTGCCCATGCCAAAAATTCCAGCAAACGTTCACTTCGGAAAGGGAGAACGTCTTCGTGTTTGTCAGGAATTAACACAGAGAAACATCTGCACTTGGATTAGGAGTGAGGAGGTCGCCGTTTTTAGGGGGGTGCGTGTCCTGAACGGTTTGTTTGGTGTAAAGAAGCCCTCCTGTCTCCCTAACGGGAAACCCATTTTGAGAGTCATCATGAATCTTAAACCTAGCAATGCAATTATGAAGCAAGTCAAAGGTGCTGTGGGATCACTCCCCAGCATCGCGTGCTTTCAAGCTACAGTGCTTGATGACGGAGAAGAGCTGGTCATGGGACAATCGGACATGTCAAGTGCATTTTACTTGTTCAGGTTGCCACGCAAGTGGCAGCCGTACCTGTGTTTCGATGTGCATTCCGATGGTGCAGAAATTGGACAGACACCAGGATGTTCATACACGCTGGCCTGTTCAGTGCTGCCAATGGGTTGGAACTCTAGCGTGTCGATCATGCAAGAAGTGTCGGAGCGCATTTTGTGGAATGCGGGGTTCAGCGAGCAGTCACAGATCCGTCGAGGCTTTGCGATGCCGGATATCCTCACTCGTTGTGCACGACAGGCCATTGCTGAGGATAAGGCGTTTTGGCAGGTCTATCTTGATAATTTTATGGGGGGGACAAAAGAGAGTTTCTGGGGAGGATCCGGAAGCTTGCCGGGTTCAACATAATAAGGCAGAGTCCGCTTGGCAGAGGGTTGGCATTGTCTCTTCACAAAAGAAAAAGGTTGAATGTGCTGTTGAGATTGAGGAGCTAGGGGCCCTCATCCATGGTCAAGAGGGCTACTTAGGGGGTTCGAGCAAAAGATTTTGCAAACTGGTTCAAGCCACCTGTTGGGTCCTTTCTCAGAAGGTTCTGGATAAGAAACAAACACAAGTGATTGCCGGACGATGGGTGCATGTGTTGCAATTCAGACGACCGGGAATGAGTTTCTTGGACAAAGTCTGGAGCTTCATTAGTGCTAAGCACGGAGGGGGTGATCGTTCGCTTCAGGTTAAGAGAGAATTGTTTATGGTGATGTTGGCTATCCCCCCTTTTGCACACTTCATTAGGTGCCGGCATTGACACGTCGTTCTGGTGCAGTGACGCTTCAGAATCGGGAGGAGCAATTGCGGCAGCAGAATCATTGTCGAATCAGGGGAAAGACTTTCTTATGTCGGCCAGACTTTCAAGCCGAACCCTCGGGACCGCTCCCATCCTGGTGATTGGACTCTTTTCGGGTATCGGAGGAACCTTTAGGATCTACGACGTGTTGGACATCATCCCCAGAGCCTCAATCGCCGTGGATGTTTTCAAACCTGCCAATAGGATAGTTAGCCGAAGGTGGCCAGGTGTTAGGATCCTGCGAGACGTTCGGGACATCACCAGAGAGGTTGCTCAAGAGTGGGCCGTGGATTTTCATACGGTGTCGGAGGTGCATCTTTGGGGAGGTTTTCCCTGTAGAGATCTCAGCTCAGCTAAAGCAGGCCGCACAAATCTTGAAGGACGTGACAGTGGGTTGTTCTTTGAATATATTAGGATTTGGCAGTTGCTCACAGAGGAGTTCGGTGACATCCCAATCAAAACAGCAGCAGAAAATGTGGCATCAATGGATGAATCCGCATCGGAAGAGATATCAAGTTGGATGGGCGTACGTCCATATCACCTGGACAGTTTGGATGCAGTGCCAATGAGGCGCCCCCGACTGTGTTGGACGTCGGAATCAGTGGAAGACTGTCTGGACGGACTTCAATGCATTGAAGAACGACGTTGGTGTCGCATCACAGCAAAGGCGCCCTATCCCCTCTTGAGCCAGTGGTTAGAAGAGGGGTCCGAATGGCCAGGAGAGATAGCAGCACAAGGGTTTCCCACGTGTATGCGCGCAGTCTTCAAAGAGGTCCCCCCCAAAGTTTCCAGCAGGGCTCAATAGAGCTGACAAGGATTGTCAGGACAGATGGGCTGCCTCTGGGTACATATACCCCCCCTTACCAGTTTCGTGAAGAGTTCCTAATTTGGCGAAAGGGCAGGTGGCGTCTAATAAATAGTGAAGAGCGAGGCCTACTCATGGGCTACGGGTTTGGTCATTGTGAGCTTGCCTGGTCTGCCAGTCAGATCAAACAAAATCGTCGCAAGTTTGAACTCGAGAAGTGTTCATGGGTAGGAGACGCCTTCAGCATCTACTCCTTCGTTGTTGTTGGGGCGGCCCTCTGTCAGAAATACCTTCCTCGAATCCACTATCAGCACCTGGCCAACCGATTGGGACTAGCCCCAGGTTTCCGAGCGTCCCTTCAATTACAAGCCCCGCTAGCCCGCAAGCTACAGTACGGATGTCAGAACCTTGTTGATGCCGCTCAAGACCTCACGGTTCAAGAGTTGAACAGATTCTTTCTGGGGCGTGCAAACTTCACAGGTAGTGACGTGAGAGTTGTAAGTGGCGACATTGTCAATCCGAGAGCCTTCCCTAGGCTGCCGCATGGTGGTCTTGGTCAAACTTTGTGAAGGTTCGTTGGAAGCGTTCGCAACACATCAACCTTTTGGAGCTTAAAACTATCCTTCTTACAATCCAGCGGGGTATTGAGCGCCAGAAATGGGGAAACCTTCGGGTCTTTCATGCCACGGACAGCTATGTCTCCATGAGCATTGTCAGTAAGGGGAGGACATCTAGTCAGATGTTGAACCGGTTGCTTCGCATCTTGAACGCCATGTTGCTCTTTCATGGAATTCATCTGTTGGTCACCCATGTTGAGAGTACAGAGAACCCTACTGACGCTGCCAGCAGGAGTTGAATAGAGGTATGGGAAAGTTCCATCCCGGTTGATTCACAAATCCACTCGCAAAGAGCGCAAACAAGCTCGAAAAGGACTTGATTTGGCAGAAGCCAGTGTCACAGAAAAGACTCGAGCCGGGTACCAGGCTGGACTTCGAAAGCTACTGCCTTTTCTCAGCGATGTCGAAAGTCCCAGTGACCTTGATACGGCAGTAGCCGAATGGGTGCAACTTGTGTGGGAGGATGGTGAATCCTTGTACGTGGTTAGCAATGCCCTTTGCGGTTTGCACTTTTATGAACCTCTTACCAAGCGTTGCATCCCTTCAGCCTGGCGTTTGTTTGCGACCTGGCGTAAGCTTGAATGGCCGGCGAGAGCGCCGCCACTCACTTGTGGGATTGTCTACAGCTTGTCCCACTATGCTCTCTGCCATCAAGACCTGTTTTTCGCTGCGCTCCTGTGCGTGGGATTCTTTGGACTCCTCAGGACTGGAGAGATGTTGGCATTGCGAGGCTCTGATGTGCTGATTAATGATACTCAACTGATCCTGTCCCTAAAGGGCACTAAGAGTGGCAAGCGGAATTCGGCAGATGAGACTATATGCATTGAAGATGTTTTCACCCACATGGTTGTTCAGGCTGCTGTTGATGTGTTGCAGAGCCGCCACGCTTTACAGCATAAGTTCTGGGAATACTCCGGACAGGCCTTCAGGAATCACTTCGATGTCTACCTGCGACGGTTTCAATTGGACACGCTCCATTTTAGACCGTATTCCCTCAGACGAGGGGGTGCAACGCACCTCTTCCAGACTACAGGAAGTATGGAAGTGGCATTGGTCAAAGGACGTTGGTCCTCGAATAAGGTGGCTCGAGTATACATTGCTGACGGCTTGAGTAAGCTTCCAGGACTGTTGATGAATCCTGCCACTCGCAGTTTGCTTGAGTTTTGGGATCCCCGCCGTGACCACAGCGGAAAGGGGGTCCGTGGAAGGCGCGCTGGAAAGCGCGGGTGATCTGTGATCACCGTTGTGTTCTTGTTGAACCTGGCTGCATGGCCAGAAAACCTTGTTGGATT